CAAAAGCAGGTGAAAGAGAGCATAGATAAACAGGAGGACTTAATTGCGAGGATACAGGTTAGATTCATGATGGCGAAAGTGAGATTACTAATTGAAATTGTAGTCTGCACATCAGCAATTTTCCCAAGAGACTGGAACAAGCGCAGGTGGTAGGGACAGTATGATGTGTCACTTAGCTGCAGCACACGACGCGTTTCGTGATTTGCAAAGCAATTTAAAAGAGGGCGCTCAATTTTACAATGATCTAACTCAGGTAATAAGACAGGGGAAATAATGTGCACAGTCCTAAGTTTGCATTTCAGCTGTTAGTGGTGTTCCAAAACAAAATTTCAGATTATTGTTTTGCTCGTAAAACCGAAAAGGAAGAACTAATGAAGGACTTAACTCAGGAATGCAGTCGCCAAACAACACCATTGCCTCCACCATCTCAACCATCTTTCCATAATGGTGAGTAGAATGTATGCTCTAAAAACTTGACATTGTTGCTGTACATTTAAAGAAGTCAAGAAAACTGAACCATCTCCAACTTCACCAACATCGGCTCCACCAGTGCAAACTTCGTCCAATTTACCGTACCCGGTGTATGTGCAGGGTATGCCAGTACCTTTTGCACCCGGTTCGGCTCCCTATACCGCATACGCCCCACCACCTATGCCGCAAAGCTACAATCCGTATGGCGGGGGATACCAACAAGGTATGTGTATTGCTAAGTGAACGAATTCTAAAACTTTTAAATGGCAGCGCCATACAATTACGCTGGAGGATATCCTCCTCAACAAGGCTATCCCGGAGGTTATCCACAACAAGGCAATTATCCACAAGGAAATTATCCTCAACAATCGTATCCACCTGGAACTTATCCTCAGCAACAACATCCTCGGGGTTGGTAACTTCGCACTGATTAATGGGTTTCCCCCAATATATTTTTATTTTATTATTTTTCATTAAATATGTCTATTCGTATATTTTTTTAAAATCGAAAGTGTAGGCAAATAGACCTAATACAACATGTTGAGTAAGTATTAAGCAATTAACCACTGTCTAAGTGCTATGCCACATTGTACTGCTGAAACATTTTGTCCAAATGATACGGTAAAGCTTCGATAGTGAAGTTATTTTGTGCCTCAGATTCTAGTTGCTTATATAATAAATCTTTTATTGTTAGTGTTATTTTATTTATTTACTTATAATTGTTTTATCTTCTAACTTCCATCAATATAAATTCCCTTCGTGCTAGGTTTGTTGGCCATTGCCATAGTTATCTTTGGTAAAATAATTAATTTTGAACAAACCATCATCAAATGGTTGGTTAGTTTAGACTTTTAAGAGTAACGTCCAAACAGAGCTGGGCAGTATTCGATATTGTAAATACTTTTTAGTATTCAAATCCTTTAAAGTATTCAAATACTTTGTAATTAAAAACTTTTATGGAAGCAGTATTTGTATTTGTAACTCAAGTACTTTCACAAATATTTAGTATTCGAATACTTCGCAAAGTATTTGGATACTTCGTAAAGTATTCGAATACTTCGCAAGGTATTTGAATACTTTGAGAAGTATTCAAATACTTCGCATAGTATTTGAATACTTAACCTCGACTGCACCAAAATTTCTTGGGAAAACACTTTTTCTTTTTAATTTTGGTGCGTAGAATCCAAAACAATTCGTACTTTTTCGATCAGACTTCTCAATCAAAAGTTATAGACTAGAAACCAATTTCGAAAGAAAATTGAAAGGGCTGTAACTTTTGAACTAGTAGCCCAATCTTGGAACTGTTTGAAATTATGGATTCTACAGGCCACATTCTATAAGAAAATTTTTTTCCGGGTCGATCTGAGACAATTTTTTTTCGGGCCTCAAAAAAAGGCAGTGTATAACCTTCCTTTTTTACCAAAAATCGACTACACCAAAATTTCTCGGGAAAACACTTTTTCTTATTAATTTTGGTGCGTAGAATCCAAAACAATTCGTACTTTTTCGATCAGACTTCTCAATCAAAAGTTATAGACTAGAAACCAATTTCGAAAGAAAATTCAAATGGCTGTATTTGAGAACAATTTAGAAATGTTTAGGGAAAGATTCCATTGTCACAAAATCAAATAGAAAAATCCGATACAACTGAAACCGAACGATCCTGGAGTGAAACTTTTTGACTCGATAGTCTACGTAACTTAAAAAGAATAGGGACCTTTCTTATATCCTTAAGACCATGTGTACCAATTTTCAAAGCGATCGCAGGTTTCTAAACAAACTATCATGCACACGGACAAACGGATGGTCAAAAAAGGATCTGTTCCAAAATCGCTAGGATTAATTTCAGAAAGGCGTACGACGCGTACGTATCATGTGCACGACGCTTTGAAAACTGGTACACGTATTCTTAAGGATATAACTGGTGTAAGAAAGGTCCTGGTAGGTACCTCCTAGATAATAATATAATAATAATAATACGCTTTTACTCCCCTTAAATTTGTATATAACAATAGAAATATAAAAAAAGCTAACCCCATACAAAGTACGAGTATAACTTGATTTTTTAAGTATAGTATTAAGACTTCTACTTTCAAAGTATTCGAATACCTTTGATAGTATTAGAATACTTTTGAAAGTATTCGAATACCTTTGAAAGTATTCGAATATATTCTAAAGTATTTGAATAGGTAGGTACTTATTTTTTAAAGTAGGTATTTGAATACTTTTCAATGTATCTGTATTTAGTATTCGCGTGTGCTGGACGTAAAAGTATTTAGTATTCAAATACCTTTGATTTGTGTAAAGTATTTACTATTTAGTATTCAAATACTTTTTGAAAGTACTCTGCCCAGCTCTGCGTCCAAAGGAACCTGCAATCAGCTTAAGACAAGTGCACATAAAATATGAGGACTAATAATAGACGCAACATAAAATAACTATGTGAGTGGCACTTTTTCCTCTCTCCAGCTAGTTCAAAGTCCCCAATGACCCAATGATATGGCTGGATTTTGGCGATGTGGTTGGAAGCACTTCCATCGTCAAAATGAGTTAGTAAGATGAACTTTTCAAAGACAATCTAGTTTCTGGGAAAGAGCTAGCCCGGTTACAGGTAAACACACTTAACACTCAAAGCCATGTAATGAAACCGTAGTTTCGATAATCAGTCTCACGTCCCAGCTAATGCCAGATGAAATTAAAGAATTAGTAATGAGGTCAATTGCAAGAAAATAGTAGCCAAGCAGAGCTGGGTAGGTACTGCTCGCGAGCGTTTCGCTCGAAAAGCGCGCCAAGCAAAAAAGCGCACTTTTCGGAGCGGCCGCCTGGCGTTCGAGACCGTTTAGGTACTTAAAGTGCTCGGCGCTCGAGCGCTTTTTTCTGCCCGTGGGCGTTTTTTTCGCTCATGGGTGTTTTTTTGGCTCGTGAGCGCTGTTAACTGCCCTAAAACGCTGAATGGTTACGCGCCGCTCGCGAGCGTTTTTTCCGCTTCCGAGCGGTTTTTTCTTCGCTCGCGGGCTCTTTTTTCGCTCGCGACCTCTTTTCCTGCTCGCGAGCGCTTTTTCCACTCCTGAGCGTTTTTTTCGCTCGTTAGCACTTTTAACCGCCCTCAAGCGCTGAAGGATTAAGCGCCACTCGCGACCGCACTGAATAACAAATATCCTCGAAATCGTTTTTGGGCTGTAAAATTTTCGCCCCTATTTACGTAGTTGAAAAAAATAGCGACCATTCTTATATCCTTAAAAACATGTGTACCAAAGCGATCGGACGTTTCTAAACAAAGTTATCGTGCACACGGATAGACAGACGGGCAGACAGACAACAACAATGTAAAATTATAAGCAATCGTTAAAAATTTTCAATAGGTACTTTCTAAACTTTGTAAACATTATTAGTACTTTTAGTCCTAGAATCTTCACAATCTACAGGATTGTCAGGCCACTGTAATTTTTGATTGAGGATCACTGCTATTGCAGCTAGTTAACGAGCTCTGATTGGTGCAGGATTGACGCACTTCATTTTATTTTTCCTTGAGACTTTCCAATCTTGAAAAATTCAATTACGGTTAAATTGCAAAATGTTTTAAGCATTATTTTTGGTGATTAATTGAATTTGGGGTAATCTCGAATTGTTTTGGTTCGAGATACACTTTTTCGTTCATGTTGCAGACATAATTTAAGTTGAAATTGGATGCGTGAAATATACATGCTCGTGCCCTCGCCCCTCGACCGTCCCTTAAAAAGAACATTGCTATCATATTACGTATTTTTAATGACTGAAACACTGTTTGCCTGTACGTTATACTTACATTGCAAGGGTCTAACATTCCATGTTTCCTCTAAATACTCCGATTTTACGATTTAGTGTAAATTGGGGTTGTAATTCTGGAAAAATAGTCTACTTAGAGAAGAGCCATTAGAAGAAGGGTAAATCTTTATCCAACTGTGAGGTTTGGACGCTAAAATGGAAGAATCTCCTGAAGGACCCACCTGATTGTCGGTTATAAGCTGCCTTGTGCTGTGTTGATGAGGACAAAGGTTGTATCCGCAAGTGACTAGTGAATGCATCCTATTTTTCTCGCAAAAGGGGAAAATTGCGGAAAAGTAGTGAAATAAGTAGTAGGCACTGTTCTCTTCATTTTTAATTGTTTTCTTCCGATGTATGAAATCAAAACAATTTTCAACATAAAAAATCCTGCGTCCTGTCTATAAAACCCAGGTTTGAGGAGTATTACACGCTGATTTGCTCTCTCATCTTTAGACTCAAGTAATAGAAACAAATAGGATTCACACCCCTAACAAATCAAAAGCCGAAAAAGTGCAGTGTAGAGTACACTGTTCCGATGGTTGAGAACTTAATGCTACCTATGAAATTAGCATTACTTTATTAGTAATTCTGATTTATTTAATTTCGGACCCCTAACACACTTTTCCTCTTTGACAGCGATACTGACGCCAGCTGAAACTTTCCAGTATAATTTTCAATTATCCCCATTTCACTATAGTATAACTGAAAACTACGAACAAATTGGAAAATTTAAACGCACATTTAATGTCGCACATTGTAATATCGAAATTTTGTACCGAAGCAATATTACAAAATGCAAAATGTTCCCTCTTAATTATATTACATTGCCATTAAATAAATTAATCACTACCTATATTACAGTACAAAAGTTACGTATATGGGAGAAAATAAATCTTGATATAATGGTACACAATCACCCTTAGAGTAGAGACATTAGTAAAATCACATTAGTTAAAGATGCAAATTGAAATAGTATATAGAAGGACCTTTCCAAGGAACTTTTCTATTATAATATAGTATACACATTTTTGGCAGTTTTTTAAATCAGTACTTCAAAATAGTTTACTAAAGAGATTATTTACAAAAGTGGAAATACTGGAAAGAGGCTTAATTCGCTATACAACTATTACTAACTATGGCAGTAACCTGGGATTAAATCTTCCCATGTGTAGTAGGAGACCTGTAGGATTATGTCGGACAAAGTATAGGAACGGTCTGTCGAATCTCAACCTGGGCGCGTCGGGTAATCTGGCTTGTCTGGGTCGAAACTGTAAAGGCAACGATAGGTAGGATGGATTGTAAAGTGGATCGTGGAAAGCTCTTTGGTAGTCTCTGGGTTCATCTGCCAAATCACTGTTTTCGTAGTTACCGAATTGGGGAATTTTTCTCACTCTACGGAATGAGCGGTTAGTAGTGGCCGGGTATATCTCCGAATGGTGCGTTTCGTCAATTTTATTTTCCCCACACGTGGCAAAAGTGTTCACTTGGATTATGTCTGATAAATACAGCTCATGAGCGACTCCATTTAGACCTTTAAGATCCGCCGTGTGGGCGTTGAAAAGGTCTCGTAAGCCCATCCGTTGTAGAGCTGCCGTAGCGTTGATAACGGATTTGTGAGAAAATCGAGGAATTTGCACTTCTAGCCCAGGGCGTGGTATCAGAGATCGTAGCAAGCGCGCCCAGGTGTTCTGTTTGAACGCACTTTCGATCAAACGCGTCTCCAAACGCGCCAGGCCGTCTCCAGGCGCGGCGATACCTTGCTGTCCGGGTATAACAAATATCGTACTGATCGTTTGATCTTTCCTCCCAATTGCTACCGCTGTCGCATCTAATCCAGGTTCATAACCAGCTAAAAATCCAGCCCTCCACACAACTGCAGGGATTGGTACTAATTTTCTTTGCCGTATTGATGGTAGAACTACGAAATGCAGTTCGCCATCTCGACCGTTAACCGATGCCTCTGAACAGTCCGTCTGAAAACATAAAACGGATTGATTTCAAGTTACAAAGTTAAAAATGTTACAATTGATGGACAAATTATTAGGAAAGGAACAGGTCTTATTTACGCAAATCCTGAATATAATGAACCCGCACCTTTTTTTAAGCCAAGGGCTAAATAAAAAAAACAAAAACTAGGACAGTAGGACCCCCTGTAAAACTGGAAGTCATAAACGCAAATGCTTTAGTTTAGTTGAACCGTACTCATTGAATAACCTTCATGTAAAATATTCCATTTCCATTAGTTTCAGATGTAAAATAATCGATTCAGCTCGTCATTGGACACACGGTATGACCCTTTTAGTCTTCGAGAGCAATACCATTTGCAAAAGGAGATCAGAGGAGATCAAAAAATGCCATGCATTTCTATAGCAGTTTTTAGTCAAAGTTTTGGATTTAACTGAAATCTTTATTTAATTGTTAGATTTTTTTGGTTCTTCATCTTGCAATAACTTCTCTGAAAATAGTTTAGGAAACCGTTCTGAAGATTCTTACAATTTTGAAATGTGCATGATTTGCATCCTCCTGAAATCTTGAACTTTTTCAGTCGTTTGAAATCTCTTTGGAGTAATTTGGCAAAACGTTCGACCAATTTCTAAGATTTTCTTGAATCTTTCTTTAGATATCTTCTGAATTGTTTTTTAAAATCCTTTTTCGGTACCTTTTTCCTGAAAATTTAAAGTTTTCTTTTTGAGTTTTACGCGCTACAGTTATTAACTCTCTTGCTAACATTTTCTAATGACAGTACTCAAGTCAAAAGTAACTCAAAACGGGACAGATTGAAATGCGAGCAGGGGTAGATATTATTTGTTGTACAACACCCATAAGGAAGCCTTCAGTTTTCGGTATTCCCTTGGAATCCGAATCCTAATATTTTTTATACAGTCTTCATGGAATCCTGAAATTTTCGGAATATTTTAATAGCATTCTACCTCGGAACCTTTCTGCAATCTTTCATACATATTTGAATTTAATATGTATCGTTGCTTCATTTTTTAGCAAATCTTTGTAACTATCGTAGGGATGGAGTAGCCCAGTCAGCATCTTGCTCATTAAAATTGTGCTATTTTTTCCACGTTAGCTTGGTCGTAGCCTTACGGTTTTCAAGTTCGTTGAATGGAATTCAAAACTTTATTACGAGCATATTCGGTATTGTGAGATTCTAAAGATTCGTCAAGTCTCTTACTTTGTGATCAATTTGTGCCGTATGGGACAAATTTTGCGCTCTTATGATTTTTTTATAACACTGACAACCGTTCTTTATTTAAACTAGTTTGATAAGTTATCTATAAAATTCATTGTTTCTTATAAAATTGGTACGTCGTTACTGGTAACGCCTTTCATACACTCCTTAAAGTACGCTGCTTAATTTTCATACCTAAATTTGTTGATTCTATTACCTACCATGGTTACTACCTACGCCAGCCTTTTGTTCACTCATGCTAAAAGCTAAAATATGAATAATAGACGAATTCGGATAAAATAAGCTTTCAGTGTTATAAAAAAACTTTAGGATAACATGGTGTTTTATAGTTTAACTTTAAAGGACTCTGCCTATCAAAACTCTGCTAACGAAAAAGTAGATCTATAATTTCCATCGCACTCTTGCTGTCGTCCGCAAATTTTCCCGAACAAGTCATCTTTTAAGGTACTGGACGATTCAAACAAAACCTGGGAGATATATTCTCTATAAATCCTAGTTGATAATGCATAAGAAAAGCCTATACAGAGTGGTCCAACGAGAAGTATACATCAGAGAGATTTTAGGGTATTAAATTTAGAAATTTCGAAAAATCCTCGAACACGTCAATTTTGTATTCGAGGAGAACAACTTTTGGAATACAAATCACGAACCCAAATCTTCACTCCTCTACGTAGGGAGCTCAACCCCTAAAATTTTAAATGGAATCCTATGGCAAATGGCACATTATTTGAAAGCGTCAAAATAAAATTTTAATAAAGGTGACTTAGATCGCATTTGTTTTGTTTTTTTTTTTTTCAAATGCGAATTATCTCCGAAACGAATCAATAGAATTTAAAAAGCAAAGCAGATTGGTAATCACGATTAAATTGGCTTTCAAATAATGTGCCATTTGCCATAGGATTCCATTTAAAATTTTAGGGGTTAAGCTCCCTACGTAGAGAAGTGAAGACTTGGGTTCGTGATTTGTATTCCAAAAGTTGTTCTCCTCGAATACAAAATTGACGTGTTCGAAGGATTTTTCGAAATTTCTAAATTTAATACCCTCAAAGCCCTCTGTACACTTCTCGTTGGGCCACTCTGTATAATGGGCGAATAAAACAGAGTTGCTATGAGTCGCCTTTGGCAGTTCAAGTTAAATATGATTTCCCATGCAAACAAAAATTCCAAAGGTGACTCGACAGCAACTCATTTTTGATCGCATAGTACCTATAGGGACTAAAAATGTATGCTATTTTCCATATGATTTTGTGACGGAAACCCAATAAGCATATAAAATTGTCAATATAAATACAGGGCCGCGTCCGAAGGAAACAATTATCTGCAACTATTAAAGTAGGTATTGGACAGATACACACGAAGTATGCGTTGAAAGTGGAGACGCAATGTTTTCCTCTATGATACACATTTGTGCTGTAACCATTTTTGAGTTATTTGACTTTTTCAAACTCCATTTTCAGAAGGACTCTACATAGAATGCAACCTGGCCTACACCGAATTCGTTTTAGAAGTTTTTAAAGTACGAGTATACCTACCTATAGTGGATTGGGCTAGTAGAACAGACTCGGATAAAATCTCGCCTATTTAAAAATAAGCAAAAAAATAAAAGTTTGCTGTGGCTAGCGCTTTTGCCCAAAACTCATCCTGTTATATCTAGGAATATGTGTATCAAATTTGATTTCAACCGGTTCAGCAGGATGGATGATGCAGATGGATAGTCCCATAGACAGACGGACAGAATTTTTTGTAGGAACTTATGCGTTGGTTTTGTCCGTCCGTCTGTTCCTCGCCTAACTCGAAAATGAAAAAAGAACGCGACGTCAAAACCTTCCTCAATCGATTTCTACGAGTGCTATTGAATATATGAGCTGGTCTGGTTTCCAAATGCGAATGGAGTATTCTCCTACTGAAAATCGTATGCGATTCTTCGTATCTTGTTTAATATTTTTTAGATAATATTTCTTTACATTTAAAGCATAGGTACCTACTTAGAGGTTTTCACTAAAAATCCATTGGAATATTTATAAAATATTTATTGACTTCTCACTCAAAGACCCTTGAGAAATCCTAGGAACTTTTTTAGATGTTCTTTCTGTTGCTTTTACGTCACTTTGGGCGCTATTGGTAGAATCTTGAGACTTTTCAGATAGTATTCAATTCAAAGGTTCTTCACACATTTACTATGTATTTCCCAGAAATATTTTAGAGCTTCAACGGTCTTTCGAAGATTCTTTGCAAATTTTACGGACTTTTTGTGCGTTTCCATATTTTATGACTCTCAGAAAAATGTATATTGATCAATTTTCTACAGAGTCGATCCCTAAGAAATTATTCAGTGATAATTCTTTCCGTAAGTCCTCTATCCTCTCGAGATTCTTAAAGTTCTTCAAGAATTTCCATTTCTGGAAGATTTTTAGTGTTCATGTGTGATCGTATAGAAAAAATGCAGTTTGGTTTGCTGGCGTAGGCCATATCGGTCACGTTTAAGGTCTTAGGTTCTAAGCCGCGTTCGGCCATAGATAAACTTAACATGATAGTGGTCCGAGTTAGTAATCTCTAGATTTGTGATAAATTTTTTGGAAAGTCAAAGTGTGATCAAGCTATGAAGAACATTTTTGTAGTTCAAAAAAGTTTCTAAGAAATAACTAAACCTCTGAAGAATCTTTAAAACATCTACCTACCACCTACGCATGCGAGATTCTCCCCTTTTATGCCCATGAATATGTGGACCAAATTTGGTTCCAATCGGTTCAACCGTTTAGCCGGAAATTAGAGATTGACACACTTGCGCATGCCCGATTCTGCCCATAAGCTTTTCAACTCTTCCTTTTATCTCTAACGATATGTGTACCAAATTTGGTTCCAATCAGTTGAGCCGGAAATGAGAGTATAAACGGACCGACAGACCGACATCATCGAAATTTTGTTTGATTCGGATTCAGGGTGTTCAAAAAGGTGTATTTCCGTCAAAAAAGTGGGAGCTCATTTTTACCCCAATGCAATACCTCCCTTTACTAACGTGCGGGTGGTAAAAATCGCGTAGGTAATTGATAAGCTGTAAGAGCACACAATATGTAGAAAGTAGCATAAAACAACGAAGATGACGAAATGAGATTCTCGGTTATACATCAACAATCTCGTCAACAATGCATATGATCAACCAAAATACCATATGCTATGTAATGGTAGCAAATCTTCACAACCTTCAAAGGTAAAATGGATAATTCATTTAAGGATGGAAGTCAAAACGTATCATTAAGAGGAAAAAATAATATTTTGGAAAGGAGTTTTGTCAAAAAACAAAGCATTTACACACTCACCTGGAATAAATTCGCGCTAATAGCAGCTAGAGGTGGCCTTACAGACAAGTTGTTATCTTTGAGATATTCCGTCACCTTTCCCCAAGTTTGTCTTTTAACCAACAAATTCGTTCTACGCCTGATCACGTCACTAATCTCCTTAAAGTTAACCTCTTCAACGTGTCCATCGTAAAACTGTTTCACACGTTCCTTATAAAAATTGAGAAGCTTCCCCTTATTTTTGTCGCTATACAACTCCTTAACGAATACCGAATTCGCCACACCCGATTTTTTGGAAACCTCAATCGAATCAACGACGTTCTTGAAAACTGCGTGCGGGTTGAAAGTAACCATATCGTCCAATTTTAAAATGTCATTCATTTCGCCTGAGGTGGCTCCACGCGCTCCCAAAAATACCATCGCCAAAATGGAAGTGGCCGCGAAAGGCGAAACGACAACGCTCCTCGCGAAGCTTATCCCGCTGGTCACCGAGTTCCAAAAACTAAACGCCAATTCGTTGCAAAGTTCCGTAAACTGAAACACGTCGGTGTTCAGTCCGGATGTACTATCTGCGAGCCCAAAACCTTGAAGAGGCTTGGGAACCAAATCCACCGAGGTGACCGAGTTGAGCTGTAATTTCTCTTGATCATTGCCTGTGGTTGTTCTATGAGGCAAGACTGTCGAAACAAGTGTCCATGTGGTGTCAGACTTGGGAGTTGTAGAAACTGTGCGATTAATAATGTGCAGTTCAGGTTTTTCGACTTTTGGGGATGGTGCCGTCACTGTTTCGACGGTAACGAATTCAACCGTTTGCGATGTTGTCGGAATTTCTGTTTGAACCATTGTCACATTTTCTTCAAACGATTGCGTCGATTCCGCTATCACTGGTGTTGTCACTTCTACTTCCGTTGAAGTGAACGATTGTGTTGTGGAAGCGTCCGAAGTTTGCGTAGAAGAAAGCTCTGTTAGATAATAAACTTCGGTCCGATTGTCTGAGAGTTCGGCAACGGTTTGTGCGCTAGTGAGCTTCGCATTTTCTTGCGATGCTGTAGTACCTCCTAAATTCTCTAATTCAATTGAGTCAGTCTTTAAATTATTATAAGGAATATTCACGGTCGTACTAAGTATGGGCTCAGTGGTGGCATCAGTGTTAGCGTCCGTGCTGGTTAATTCTCTAAACGTGGTGCTACTTTCTTCCATGTTTTGTAAGATCAGACTATTTTTACTTTCGTAGTCCACCGTTGTCGAATTTTCCATGTTGTCTAAGTCAATTTCCTCGTAACGATTTTTGTCAGCATTCTCGTTGATAAAACTCGTTGTAGTTGTTTCATATAATATTGTGGTAGTTCCTTGAGTAATATCATTTTCTGTTGACAATGGATTCGCGATTGTAGTTTGATTTGAGTCCCGATTAATCATTTGAAAGATGAGGTTGTCAACCGCATTATTCATGTTTTGGTCAAACTCAACCTTATCCTCTGTGATTGGGTTAGGTTTCAACGTTGTAGATTCTGACTTTACATTGTCGGTCGTACTTAATTTTTCTTCCATTTCAAACCCATTAGTACTAATGATTTCGTACATGGCCGTTGTACTAAGATCGTTATCATAGTTGGAATTATCTGTGGTAGCGGATGCAATGACTGTAGACGTTTCAAAATTAGAAAAGCTAGTAGATGCTGTGCCTTCTGGGATCGTACTGCTGATATCTGTTGTATTGTCTATATTTTCTAGAGACGACTGCGATTCGGTTACAATGTTGCTTTCAGTCAGAGATTCTAAATTCCCTGTAGTTGTCCCCAGAGTCGGAACAAGTTTGGGAGATTCCGTCCATGCAGTTGTGGTGGATGGTGGAAGAGCGGTTGTACTTTCGTCAATGATTAAATTTTCTATCGTCTCTGTTTGTATCGTTGTGGAAATAATTGATTCTGTCGCGCTTTCTTTGTTGGTTGTGTATTGTGAAGAATTCTCTTCAGCAGTTGTCAATCCGGCGGTGGTAGATTCTTCCCGATCTCCGTTAAGGTTTAGTGATATCGTGGGATGTGCATCGGCGGGTGTAGTAGAGATGATAAAGTTTTCATTTGCAATAGTGTTAGAAAGATGCTCTTTAGTATTGGTAATCGCAGGCAAGGGGGTTGATTCTTGCCTTAAATCATTGTCTTCGGTAGTAGTAATTTCACTCGTAGCTTCCAAAGTTGACAATTGTAAAATAACTGGTGTGGTTGTAGCTTGATCCTTCTCAAAGAGAGTAGTTGGTTGTAAAGTAAAAGGCGAAGGACGTTGATTACTTTCCGTTGATATATCCAAATGTTGTGTCAATACGGTGTTTATTCTTTCAGATTGTTCAGTAGTTTGAATTGCTGATGTCGACGTTATAGTTGAAGGTGCGCTTGTGGTATACTCTATTGAGGACGTCAAAGTGGTCGACACAGGCTTTTTCACCGTTTCAGTGGTTCCACCACTATTTGGAATTTCCCTGTCGGGCAAGTTCGTACTTTCCGTTGATATATCCAAATGTTGTGTCAATACGGTGTTTATTCTTTCAGATTGTTCAGTAGTTTGAATTGCTGATGTCGACGTTATAGTTGAAGGTGCGCTTGTGGTATACTCTATTGAGGACGTCAAAGTGGTCGACACAGGCTTTTTCACCGTTTCAGTGGTTCCACCACTATTTGGAATTTCCCTGTCGGGCAAGTTCGTACTTTCCGTTTTTGTACCTAATATTACTGTTTCAGTTGGAACGTTCTTTTGTGTGGTCGCCGTTTGGGTTGTTGTAGTAGGGATACCCTCGGTGCTACTGAGTGGCAAGGTTTCAGCAATTAGGTCTGGTACGAAGTTAGCAGGATTTCCAAAAAGTGCAGGCAAGATTAAATTCCACGTAGAAGTACCATCTGGATTTTCGAAATCAGGATTACTATCGGGTGATGGTTTGTGAGCTTCCATTTCTTCTTTCAGTACGTTTTGAACGTTGTTGATGACGTCGTCCACGCGTTGTTCAGGAAGCGTAAGGAGGGGTTGCGAGTTATAATTTGTCGCATCTCCGTCCCCGCTGGCTATAATTCCTTGAATCTCGTCTAGTGTCATTAATCTTCTCACAAGATCTCCGCTGTCATCAAACGTGTAAAACTCATATCGATCAGGGTTTAAGAGGTTTATAGGACTTGCTAACTGGGTCGCTGCCGAAGGCTTCGTCATAGGCTTTCCGACTGCGTCAGCAAAGAGGGTTTGAGAACCATTACCACTGTCCATGATGACGGAGACTGATGTAACCACACTGAAATAATGTAATATGTTAGTCACTTAAAATACGTTGATTGATTATTTATATGCCTAATCAGTGAGCATTCAAAGCATAATGAAAAATCTACGTTTCTAGTAGTATCCGTCGAAAATGTAGCAGCACCGAGACCTTAAAAATTTGTTGCTTCGATTGTATAAATTTCGACAAAACAAAACTTGGTACTACCAGTAATTGAACCGTGATTCGAAGACAAATAAAGTTGGAAGTGCAAGTGCAATTCCAAAAATTGGCAATTTGGTTTTTTAAAGTACACAGTTACACTTAAAAATGTCGAAAGAGCACAAGGGCCTGAATGTTGAGGGTCTGTACAAACGGATGGTAGCGTTCTGGTAGAGGCACCCGCAGTGGCACCTCTACCTATGGCTTTATTTTATACCTAACCATTTTTGCGGTCTTCGGTTATGATAGACCAAAAAGACTACTTTTTGGTCTACCCTTTACCTATGGCTTTATTTTATACCTAACCATTTTTGCGGTCTTCGGTTATGATAGACCAAAAAGACTACTTTTTGGTCTACCCTTTATGTGCCGAAAATTCGGACTATCCTATCAGTACCCTTATTTTTGAGTACCTACATAAGGAATGTAATTTGTGAGAGAAGGAGGGCGGAGTTGTCTCTTAAATCCAATCAATGATAGGTTATCTTTTTTTACGAGAGAACTCCGCCACCTTTCGCTATTTTATTCCTATGAACCTAAGAATAATGGCCCTGGAGTAAATTTTCTCCCGAAACTAAGTGACCAGCTCGTATTTTCCACCTCGTTCAGTGTCGAAGTTTTTCCCTCGCTAATTTCTCAGCTCAAACCAATCGATTTCTACGAGTTCAAGGATCAGTATAGTATTGAATATGAGCCGGATTAAAAGTTTGCTTCCGAATACGAGCTAAGTGGCAAAAAATTCCCCTACTGAAAGACGTATGCGATTTTTCGTATCTTGTTCACAATGAATCACTTCTTCCTTTGCATTATTTTATAAATAGGTATTAGGCCAGCCAACAATTTCTCAAAAAAAGGTATAGCGGGAAATACTTAGAACACAATTTGGGACATATCCAAAAATCACCGCCCGTAACCCTTGAGCCGTTGGGTGGGGAGGAAGGACCCTTTTTTCGGTTTTTCGTTTATATCTCGCAAGTTTTCGATATCTTGTACCTATAGTTTTCGAGATATCCGCTAGTCTGTAATTTTGGAAAAAAACATTTTCTGCCTCACGTTTTTTTGCTCCTTTTGACCGGATAACTCTTGAACGATGCATTAAAAAATAAATACCGACCCGAGGGTTGTAAAGCATTAAAATATCTTCAATAATATACCGAGTGAGCCAGGAGGGGGATGGGCAATATTTTGGGAAATTAAAGTAGAGGTTATTTTAAGACAAAAACACTAATAAGAATTATTTATTATATACATCCCCGCGATAGTTGATTAAATCTGAGGGAGGCGGCTACGCCAGGCATATACCAAAGTATCAAGACGATAAAGGAATATTTTAACCACCGAGTGAATTAATTTTACCTAGATCGTTAGTTTCTCTTTATTGTCGTACAATATTTTATTTTATAGCAGAAACCATATAAATCATTGTAAAGCTTCTGCCAATTCTGAATTTAATTTAGACGTAAAAAATAGCAAGCTTATGTTCTGCCGTGGCTGATAGAAACAGCATTGTCATATGTTCTGAACGTCATTGCATATCGTGCTCCGCGTCCCATTTGAAATTAGAATGACAGATTTCATTAGAATTCACAATCATCTGTTTCACTTTATCTACCCTTACCGTTAAATAGCGGCTTCGCGTAACCCTATTAAAATGTCAATTTATAATATATGCTATAAAATAAACTATATTTTTATTCTCACCCATTTCGAAAATATTGCCAATAATTGTAATTTTATTTTAACCACCTAGGTTTAATAATGCGGATATAAATCTATAGTCAGCTTGGGGTAACAATTGAATACAAATAAACATTGCATCATTCATCATTGTACAAGTTAATAGCTGTATAAATAATATAAATATAAATTATAAAGTTATGCAAAATGTAAGAAAAGGGTTGTCAAGTGCATTAACGTACAAGGTGGAATTTTGAGCCTTTGATACAGTCACACTGATTCAAAACAACTCATTTGTTACCTACCCTAAGCAGACTATTACAGTTGGCTTCGAAACGATAGAGAATGATAGTTTATTAGTGCTTTTGTTTTAAAATAGCCTTTAATTTCCCAAAATATTACCCATTCCTCCTGGGTACTCTAGATATTACTTTACTATTTTTAGCTTCCTTGCACGAGCTAGGTAGCTATTGCGATAGCCGTTTTTTGGACATGTCAAAATTTCATCAAATGTCGACGTTTTAAGCAACTTTTAAAGAATAAAATTTTTTTCCGTCTGTATGTACATACGTATGTATGTTGCCAATTTTCCGAGAAAATGGTTCGACGGATTTTGTTCAAATTTTGTATATGTATATTAGGCATACGGAACAGAAAAATAACGGTCTGTGTCTTCTATTTAAAATCATTTCCCTTTCTCACTTCCGTTCCTCAAACTTCATATCTACGATCAGAGCAAAGCATAAGATAAACCTATATTTAAACAAAAATCAAAATTACACATCAACATTGTCCTCGAATGCAACTAATATGATCGAGATCTGCGTTCAATCCCAATTTAAAAATAATTGAAATTAGAGAAACATGGTGACCCATCATTGCATCAGGTGCCGGTGCCGAACAAAACGCCCGCTTGGCGTAGTTTACACAACAATATACAGGAATTTCTATTTGTTTTTAAATTTGGGGACATTTTCGGCGAAACCGGAAGGGTAAAATTGTTATTATGATTATTGAATTCTTTACATTTTACTCCAATGTGTTTTGAAAGCAAATTGGTCTATAGGTAACCGATATATTATTTACTCTATGCCGATATTATATTCATTCTGTACAATAAAACAGTAGGTAATTCATACAAATGTTGTAGGGTCGCCTAAGGGAAGACTGTATTGTAGCTTTGGGTTAAACTGCTAAACGTTTTATTTGAGTAATTTATTTATTGTCCAAAGTAGCGTCCATAAGAAATAAAAACAGTAGTAACCTGTAGCTACATCTAGCGTGTTAGTTCTGATAACAGATTCAGATTCTCCGAAAAAAAGTGCCCATAGAAGGTGCTAACTGGAAACGTCCATATCCGACCATGCTATGGAAAATGAAATTTGACATTTTCAGTTTTTCGGTGATATCTCTCACCGTTACGGAGATCCCAATGCTGAGTCACGAATTTGACCCACCGTGTAGACATGCAACCCACAATTTTTTTGGAATATAAAATATATCATTTCATTGATAGTGAAAATTGGTTTCACTGCAAAACATATCTGCTGGTGAGTGGTGATGTGACAATTTATGTGCGAATATCTCTAAATGGAGTGTGGCAATGTATGTACTTACAATATAATAAGGAAAATGAACTTAATGTTAATCATGGGGATCTTGGGATCTGTAAGAGATAGGTAGGTAGTTTAAATTTGTTAAAGTTGCGTATTTTGATGTCATTTTAAAACTGAAAAAATTCCGTCTACTTTTTTTTACTTTTTGTGTTGATTGATAGTGCATTTTTTTTATTTAAAAAATGTGAATACATATCTCAATTTTTTAATATGGAATGGGGCAATAATTAATTCGTAAAAACGCAAGAAAGTACGAACATACGTACATTACCCAAGACAAATTTTGCCAGGCAAAAAAGAAATATTTCAATAATATTAAAAAAAATAGTGATCTGCGCATTTTTGAAATCAGAAAGAAATCCACAACCAAATAAACCCCTAAAGTAGATCTAATAAAGCGGCAGAGCACCTCGGTGTGACCCTACGGAGTCATTGGATTTGACCTATTTTCAATATTATTACATGTGGCATATAGGTCAAGTGTGCGAAGTTTGAACCGAATCGGTCCAAGCGTTTGAAAGGACAGACGAACAGAGAGACAGGCGCTCTGCCGCATAATAATACAAAAGGTAAAAATGACTTCCATAAGAAAAAACAAAGTTGCTGATGGTTAACCGGAGACGAAACGTCAGACTTAAAATTTAAAACTAGCATATTGTAGAGAGAAAAAAGTGACCATAATAATGATTATTTTGAAATACCTTTTTAAATAACTTCGGTAAAAAATAAAAACGATTTTGAAAAATTTCGTTTTTTCAGGATATCTTCGAAAGTAGTCAAAATTTTTTAAGTTTCAAAACTGCATTTTGTTAAGCATTAAAATACGCAATTTTTCCAAATTTGAACTACTTACCTATCTCCTACAGTTTCCGAGATCTCCAAGGGGGCCCTTGAATTTGAATCAGCCTGTATTTAGTAGTGAGATTATAATAAAACGAGGAAAATAAATATGAGGACAATAGATCCGCAATAGAAAACTTCATTTTCGGAATATCTACATCAACAAAAGACCTTAAATTAAATTTCCATTCAATTTTTCCGCCTTGTCGTATTGAAGTTTAGCGAATGTTTGTTTCTCGATTTTTTTTAAAAGGCATATCACACACACGTCTACAGCTTTTATTACTTCGTTATTATGAAAATCTGTACAACACGGAACTATTTGCGCTTTCTCAACAACGTAATGAAAAATAAACATTTGGCAAAAAGCGCCCAAATTATAACATGATAAGGGAGATGGTTTCGTCTGTTTGCAAGAGTGCAATTTGATGAAATATCGCATTTTAAAAATCACAATTTTAACTGGTTTCTGCGTTACTATAAAAGAGTAGATGTGGAAAATCGCTTTCAATACTATGGCCACAGATTATACTACCTACATCACTAATCTGTGCTATGGCGTAGTGTTTCTCTCAATTTTCCAATCAAATAGCCGGTAGAGGTAGACTAAGTACCTCAATTTTCTGTTAGAACGCTAATAGAGTAAGAATTCCTTGAAAGTTCAATGGAAGCTAAACGTAT